AATACCCTTCCATGAAAACTAATAAACCCTCAGGTTCATAAACCCTTAAAGGGTTTATGACGCTATCATAAACCCTTTAAGGGTTTATGAATATTTATAGATAGGGCAAGCGTTTATTAGTCTGCGCTTTTTTTTTACAGTGTAGGTGATAGCAGAAAACACTCGGACTCACACCCAAACCCACACCCTTTGAAATACGTAAAGTTGACAATAGAAGATTAGTTGTATTATTTGCATCACAGTACTCAAAAACTGAACCATTTCTGGTTCATTAAGTTTATAATAACCAGCAGCTGTTCATTTTATTGTTGACCAATTGATTAAAAAATAACTTTTCTGCATATATTGATAGAGAAATTGATATTTCAAACTTTGTAGTAAATTTTGTAGCCCAGTAGAAAATTGAATGTCATACCTAGTTACGTATGTCAAAGGCACTGAACTAAATGGAAAAATTCGAGAATATATAATGGGTATAAAATAGTTCATAGTCAAATATGACTAAAACTTCTCGGAAAAGCTTATCAGACCCTATCGATAAATTTACTATGGACATTTTCTTCAATAATATAAAGGTAAATCAGTCAATAAAAAAGTACTACTTATGAATTATATAATTATGAAAAATAATAATATAGTATATATTTTGTGGAACTCATATATATTTTTCGAAGAAAAAGTGAGTGTAAGTTTTAAGGTGAGGTTTTTTCAGCCCCTCCCCTCCCCTTACAGACATCCCCATTACAGACACTCACCGTTACAAACATCTAACCGTTACAGACATAGACCATTACAGACACTCACCATTACAGACTCTAGTAGCTAGCAACAACAAAAAACGAAGTCTTTGCCAAACTGTAAATCAACAGTATAGTTTTGTGAACATTCTGAGTCGTCCAGATTTTGATCTTTGTGAAAAATAAAAGTTTGAGTTTAGTAGGTTAATTATGATGGGTAAAAATGCAATGGTTTGCCATAATCTGAATATGATGATTATTACAAGACTGAATTGATCGAGTTTTTCTGACAAGAAAGATTAATACGAATCTTTGTAAGATGATTGAAATGAATAATAGTTAATCAATAAGCATTCCATATTTGATATGTATGTTGTATGAAAAGCTTAGTTATCCGCTGATTTAACAGTTAAATAATATTAGAGTAAAAAATAGAAAAACAAATGATGGCAAAAATTAAACCAAATAATATTAATAAGCGAACATTAATAAAATAAAAATAGAGCGGGAGTTAAAAGGAAGTTTCATTTGAAATATGAATATAAATAAAAAATTGTTTTGTGTACTTCACATACTTTTCGAGAAAATGATGAAAGTATTAAGTATCCAATGTCTGCATTATGAACAATTGTCAATCAGTTGCTGTAATCTTAATCAAATATAAAATTTCTAGTATGATTGAGTATTAAAGCAAGTTCGTCGGCTGGACATGTTGGTAATGAATGAATCATTGAAAATAATAAATCGGGTGGAATATTTTCCATTTTAAAGATATTTGAACACACAGGTACATATATTGAACCATCATGCTCATCGAGATACTTGATATAATCATCAATACGATTTCGGTGTATAGTTTGATGCTTCTTAGGTCTTAGAGAATCAATAATAAAAAAAATAATCAAGGTTCCCATTAAATCGTTGAAGACAGAAAATGTATACATCGTCTAAATTTTTTTCTTTTATTAGTGACAAATTTGAAACTTGATTACACTAAGAATTAATCTCTCTAGTAAAATAGGAGGTAAGTGATAGGCAATATGTGAGTTCCACATTTTAGCCCCAAAGGGGCTGCGCTGACAAGTTTTTTTTATAAAAGATTATTATGTTGTTTGTCGTAGTTCGATATTTAATATTTTATTGTTCAGTATTTTCCTTTTATCTAATCAGAATTTTATACTAATGAAAGTCTAACTATTTTGAAATGAAACGATAAATTATGACACCTTGTCAATGTGAAAGAATAAGAATATGTACATACTGTTTTTAGTTAATGATAATGTAATGCATAATCAATCAACTATTTTGATCTATTCGAAATAAAATAGTACCTACAGAAACAAACAGTAATAATTATTTTCTAAATTTATCACAGTTTGTATTCAAATAATTATTCTATTCAAGCAAAGGTGTGGGAGGAAAAGAGTTTAGAGGAAAGGAAAATAACAAGAGATTCTAACGAGCATAGTCTTGCCATGCAAGTAATTTAGATACAGATCATTTTCATTTTGAAAAGCCTATCTGTAGCATCACATTTTCTTAAATAATCATTCTGACTATCTGAAGGGAATTCAATAGAGAAAAATGTCAAGCGCCAATGATACAATATTATACATTGCAAGACTTCAATATATTTCGGGACAAATAACTATGTATATGTCAATTATTATCTATGCTTTTGGTGTGATTGGCAATGTACTTAATTTGTTAGTATTTGGACAACAATCACTACGTTCACAGCCATGTGTCGTCTATTTTCTTCTGGTTAGCATATTAAATTTAACAATTATTTTCGCGGGTGTTACACCGCGTGCATTGCAAAGCTTTTTTCTGTTTATGGATCGAACAGAAACGGTATCTGTATTGTGTAAACTACGTATTGTCAGTATTTTTGTAATGCGTACTATTGCATCATGGCTTTTAGCTCTTGCTTCTGTGGATCGTTATCTGATTTCAAGTCGCAATGCTCATCTACGTCAAATGAGCAATATGAAGAATGCCTTTATTTTGATTTCAATTATTAGTATCATTTCACTTCTAGTTTGGGTTGAATCTATCTATTGTTTTGATGCTAATTTGGTTGGTACGCCACAAAAATGTTATGCCAAATCTGATGCATGCCGCACTTTTAATGATCTAACTCAATCAATTATTACAACAATCATACCGTCGACAGTCATGCTGATTATTGGTTTATTTACTATTAGGAATATTCAACAAGTTCAACGAGTAGGACCTTCTTCAATTGACACAAGTACTGGTAATACTAGAAGAAATAGAAAAGATGAAAAAAGTTTAACTCTAATGTTATTTGCACAAATCATGCTTTTAACTATATTTACTTTACCACAAGCCGGACAAAAATTTTATTTAACTTATTCATTTTATAAACCTAAGACGTCATCTCAGCGAGCACTCGAAAGTCTTATTTTTAATTTTGTTCTTCTCCTTACGTATGCACCTAACTGCATAGCATTTTATCTGTTTACACTAACTGGCACATTATTTCGGGCAACATTATTTAAATTATTAAAAGACGGAATACAACATTTGAACTGCTTTCACTAAAGGACAGTTTTTTTATGTATCTATGAAATTCTAAATAAACAAACATTCATTGCTCTCTCTCTCTCTTTCTCTCTTTCATAATCAGCTATGATGCTCGACCAGGAAATAGCATCCATTTTTACTTGTCTATATCAAAGTAGATTTGTCTGACGGGAATTCCTTAAGGGTCAGATATTCTTCTTAAAAAAATTGACGGAAATTAATTTGTCTCCTATCTCCATATTCAACGTTGAATATAATCTATCCGCTGTATCTAGGTATCTGTTTTCTATCTATTGTATTAATAAATTTTTGTGAAACACGACCTGAAAGGAGTGTTGAATTGGTTAATCCATCACAGAGCGTTACAGAGATGCTTTGTCAAAGTCGAACAGAAAACAATCTTGAGGTGTTTAGGATACACAGTTGGATTCCTTTCACCTATATTTTAATTGATGAATTAGCTAAATACGGCATAATTAGTTAATTATCTATAACAGCCCCTAGCAGATAGATATTGGAACCATCACAAATGGGTTAGCAAATTCATGGTGGATAGAGAGGAGCACTTATGATATACTTTGATGAATAGTAGTGACCGTCTTCGTACGGTCAAGGAACACATAATGCTACAATATCAACAAATTTATGACTTACTTCATTTTTCATTTGTAGGTGGTGCATTAAAGTATAATGAAAGAAAAAGCTCAGAAATATATAGAATAATTTGTTTTTTTCTGGTCACAATTAACACTTACATCGTGTTTCACATTCTAATCCCAAACGGATTGCGCTAACAGTTTTTTCATTTATTTTAATTGTAACACAAGTATTCTATTTTTCGCTTTAAATTCAACAGTATCAACTGAAGCAAGTGAAATTTTCTCATAATTAAGTGTTTTTTCATCTCTTTTAGATTTATTATAACAGTGACTTTAAGATAGCATGATAAAGTAAGCTATTCTTTCATTTATCAATCTACACTAAATAATGTTTTTCTTTATTTTTAATTCACTATTGTTCAATATCAACTACGTTTGGACTAATTTTACGGTTAAATTAACTCATCGCGTTAGATGGAAGCATCCCACGTAGCCAATTTCATGAAATAATAGATATTATAATGGATTATTTTAATTAGAAATGAAATTACATGATAATGCTATCGATTTCATACATTACAATGCACTGTAATCAAGGGGGGAAATTGCGATTTCCGCACTCCCCTGTACTTCACTCGTACTTCCCTGTATTTCCCTTGTGCTTCCATCGTACTTCCATCGTACTTCCATGTACATCTATATACTATCGCAGTACTTAACTCGAGTTTCATCATGATTGAACTGTATCTCATTAACATGAAAGCAGAGCTTGTCATCCACTGTGCTACATAATTGCAAGTAACGTGAGGCACTGCTCGATTTCGATGAATATTTTGATCGTTACTTATTCCATATAAATTGTGATAGTATCGGTTCATCCAAAATATTATATGTTTTATAAGATTAACAACATATTGTATAAAATGGTTAGAAAAGACTTTTTAACTGCTAACACAACCGAATCTGGTATAAGTGCTTCAAAACGATGTGTATATAAAATAAAACAGCTGGAAGAATATCAATATTTTATTTATAATATAAGTTTCACTTATAAATCCAAAAGTACAGTTCACCATTTACGTTTTTCATAAAAAAAAATAAATGTGTTGACTATTGAAACAATACTAGTACAAAAATAGCTAATTACATCAATTTGAGTTTTACATAAAAATAAATAACACATAATACGAATCTGAAATGTAAATCTACATAGAGCAATAAAAAATCTGCTCTAATCTTTTTTCAATTGAACACGTTGAAGACGATCACAAGATAAATGAGTCTGTCTATCTTGTAAATATGATCTTGCAGTGGCTTGTGCAAAAACATCTGTTTTTTTAGGAATATTAATTGAAAAATATTGATGTGCATTTGTTCTTGAAATTGATTGAATTAATCGAAGCCCTAAAATGAAATAAATAAAACACAAATGAGAATGTTAAAGTAAAAAAAGATATTATTAAATCAAAGAAAAATCAGTATCTTTCTCAGCTTTGCGTTCAGAGTAATTCTTGTGCCATTTTTTCTATAGGAATAATGTTTCTATTGATTCAAAGGCTTTCATTATTAAATGTAAACGACTGATCAACCATATAAGTTACATTCTTTTTTTGTTTCTATGGTAAACGAATAACACGTTAAAACACATAGTTGTTTTAAAAAGAATTAAATATTCTATCGCCAGTTTCAGTTTTTACATAATACAATTATAGAAACAATCGATCATGAAAACATAGGATGTTTATTTATAAAAAATACTTCACATTGTGTATTGTTAAAATTGTTATATATGAATGACTCAGACAATCCAAGCAGTAACAAAGAACTTAAAGAATTAGATGGCTAATTGACATTTTCTAATGTCTTTTTCGCATCTCTATGCAATCTTTTTTGCAAATTATTATTCATCAATAAATGCACGTATGCGTAAATTATGAAAAACAATTAGCATTGTATATACCATATGCCAAACATTTCCTCAGGATGCGATTTCTCTAGTAAATACCTGAGTAAGATGTTGATTCGAGATTTTCAAAACTAGGTGTTGCTTGCGGATCGTCCTCAGATGAACAGTAATCGTACACATTTTCATTTATTTCTTCAACAACATCTTCGTCAATACAATCTTCTGCATCTCCATCTTCTGCATGATCATATTTTTCAAAACCATCTTCTTCATCACTAACTTCAGTATTACGAGTATCAAGAATAAGTATTTCTGATTCAGTCAAAATATTTAAGTTGAATAATGCTTGCTCCATGTGTGATGACTCTTCTATATTGAAAAGATTAGATATTTAATCAAATCGTTGCTCATTCCTACGAAAACCACTATCTGCTGCGCTGCTTCATATGCTCGATGAATTATTTTATCTCAACATTGTCAGAATTAAAATCATCATCTTCATCAATATTGCTTGATTCTGTTTCATGAGTAAGTCGTTTGATCTTATGGTGAACAGAAAAAGTGATTGTTTCATGCTTATTAGTTGATTCAAATTGCCTTCGTTCCGTTCGTGCATTAAGTTTATTTATTCGTTGATGGAATTGCTTCATTGTAAAGTTAATTCTTGTTGTACAAATCTAGGATATATTTATCGAGACTGAAAATGAAATTCTACTTAAAACCTACTTAGTTATATGATATATCGATGAATAGCTGTTTCTACACGGGGGATTCGAAAAGTAAGCACTGCAGTACGAAAGTTTTCGATTAACGGTACTTTGCGAAGGTTTACTACGAAACTATTTCTATCGCATGCACCTATACTATACTAAAAGTATGCAATGAAATTCCATGAAACCTGACAGAATTTATTTAGCACGTTTTTTCAGTGTACGCTACGAAAATAATGGTAGCACATACCAGTCCTTCTATATGGGTGTGGGTACAGAAAAGGGGGAATGTTTTAATCCTTCGATTGAAAATTTTCTTTTCTTTGAAACTATATACGACTTATTTTTATCGTCCAGCCATAAAAAAAGTGACAGAAGAAGAATGGGAGCATATAAAGAACAATGCTAAGCTTTTCATACAGTTCAAAGCAAGGGCACAAATGTCGATATTTATATCTCTCTGTAAATACATGTTGGAATCATGATTTTTTATTAACTAATAAATAGCTTTCTGCTCTTTCAATCTATCCGTGATTCTCATTTTTTGTGAAACTTTGTTATTCATTGGGAGGTGAAGTCTTAGACAACAATGCTTTATTTTGCTTCAGGCAATGCTCTGAAGCCAGTTACATATCTATTCTTAAGCTTGAATTTCATCTACCTGGAATGTTTTCTGATAGTTATCAGTCTCTTTGAGTGAGCATTATTAGCAGTGAAACACTTCACTAACTTTACGTTCACGTCATCTTATACTATGATTATCAACAAACAAAGCTTTACTGGGTAACCATATTCTGGTAAAATCTATGTTCATTTATATCTGAAATGCTTCATCGAAATAGAGTAGATGACTTTTTATGCACTATTGCTTTTGCAGAAGAATAGTTCTCGATATATTTTCATCAGATGCGACGTTTTGTACATGTATTCGATAGTCAACATTTCTCAAAAACCCATTAAATTTGTTGAACATTAGCAAAAGATTTTTGTACATGCGCTTCATTATTGCTCGTTTTTTATATTCCATTATGCTATCTTTTCTTCTAATTAATTACCTATGATTCTATATGAAATTCGTTTTATAATAATTGTTGCCTCAGAATGACAAAACAAGTGTTTCAACGATGGAATATGTTCTTTTATATACCAGTCGAATTATTAGCTCTGCATGAATACACTAATAATCATGGCTAGAGCGTTATTCTGTTTTGCAACACTTTATTATTTTTTTCTTTACCTTCTCAGATTTTTTCAAGATTTCTAACGAGCAGGGTTTGTTTTTCTCTCTTTCTTTAGAAAAAGTAAAGGAGTAGAGCTGCTTAATTTCATTTATTTCTAAGGGCAATTGAAAGAAAATAAAGCATAACTTTCATACAAGTACGACATAATGCTTTTCAAAAGCTGATTGCAAAAGCATACCAAAAAAATATTATGAATTCGCTTGCCAAGCGATATCGAACCCTATGTAAATAAAGAATAGAAAATAAAATTCAGTTTTGATCACTTATTTCCGGAGTATAATTACCTTGTAGTATCCTAATGAGATAACGTTTCAATCTTGAATATCTCTGTATTTTGAGCTGTAAATGGCTAAAATGATTCATCTCGGTCAGTATGACCTCTTTAATTATTGAAAAACCAAAATAAAGCGTACAGGTTTATTGTGAAGGTCTATGGCATATAGAAATGAGTATTTTCAAAAAATTACCCGAAATAGGAACCCCAGTGTTGGTTGCAGTTATTAAAAACGAGAAATTGGCAGTCACTGTTCGGTTCGCGAAATCTCACACATAACCAAAGGCACTAGGTCATCAGTGAGATTAAGAAATTGTAAATGGATTTCAAGAAATCATCAGCCGATATACTGTCACTCCGAAAAAGAGAATATAACTACTCAATTAGAGATGATAATGATTCAAAAAATGTATTTTCTTCTCAGAAATTGAATACAAAATAACATTAACATCTCGATTCTACAACAAAGCACGATGTCGAATTCGAAAATTCACGAACGGAAGCACATAAAAAGACGAATCGGTTCACCTTTGAAATGTCTGATCAAGTATATATTTATATACGTCGATGCAGAATAAGATGACAAATTATTTGATACCAAATTTAATCAAATTGGAAAGTGATTGGATTACTTCCAACGAGCATTGCTCGATCATATGTTTACTGCATCCAGATGGCTTTATATTTGTTCTAAAAATGAGTATGTCTAGTTACACGTACTCTCATTTCAAAGAACAGATGATTACTCACAAGTCCTTGTATGAACCACTTAGAAATAGAAAACATAAACTGAACCTTTGCCGAACCAAACATATTTTAATCAATGATTCATTTACGCGTCGATAGTTCAAAATTCTATATCAGTTTTAAAATGGCTTTATGGCGGATTTTTCTCTGAAGAATGTGAAAACGTTTTTGATAATATATATATATATATATATATTCATATAGTGTACTTTGTATCGTTTTATTAAACCCAAGTTTTTGACCAAAAACACTGATTATCATTACGAAAATACGTGCTGTCATTTTGGAAAAGAATACAGTATGGATATTGTAGAACACACCGTTTTGTCGTTCTGTTGAATGACTGTAGCTCTTGAGATTTTCGTTATCCGTTTAAAATAGATGTTTCCATAATAATTTTCGATTAATCCATTTCTATTTATTCAATAAGATGACGTGATAGGCGCTGGGTTTGATAATATCAACGTGTGAGAGTGGGTGTGAGTGCAAGTTTTGTTTTAATTAATACGTACATACACACACAATCAAGAGATCATTGTATTATCTTGGTTACTAATCTCATTTCATATTCATTTTCTTGTGCAACGAAAAACAAATCATTAAAATGTAAATCTTGGCTTTGCTTCATAATTTCACGATCTTTTAACAAATAGCACATGTTATCTGTATCAAAATAATAGGAAGAATAGAATAAGGTCAGCTCAGTTCATAGGAATGCGATCGTATCAACAATGTTCCCTCTGTTATTATCGTCATCGATGAAGACAAGGCCATGGCATTTGGATTAGGCGGATTATCGGGAATGAGCGAGGAAGACAAATACTTATTCTAATTTATACGAGCAGGCAAACGCATCACAGTCAATTTTGTTGCTATCGATCAAGCATCAACATCATATCGTAGATTACTCTCGCTGCCTCTTGTGGTCGACTGTTTTTCGAAAGGTAAATAGATACCAAAGACTGATGAACAATAATAGAGAATAATTATAAAAATTAGTTTCGTTTTAGCTGCTCTATCCATATTAAAATCTGATCTGAACAATCCAGGTGAAAAAAGCCATTGCACTCACTGAATGTCTCCGCTACTGTTGCTCTTAATCTCTTTTATTATCAAAGCCTGTGCCATTGATTTACATAGTCCATGGACTATGTCAGCTGGGTCAACTTATGGCTCCTACAAGTTCAACGTACTTCAACATCTAACTGGGATCTCTCCTTATTTTGAATCTAACTCCGAAGGATTGAACCCTGATCCGCCTCAAGATTGCGTAATTGACAAAGTCGCTTATCTAATACGCCACGGTGCTATTTACGTTAACGAGTATGATTACGTGAGCACTATTCAGCCATTTTTGGAGCGTCTCAAGAATGCGTCTAATTATGTCAACTTTTCCGAATCAGCAGACTTAGCCTTCTTAACTCACTGGACTTCACCGATCTCGAACAGCAAAGAACAGATCGCAAAGCTATCCAAGCTTGGATATCTCGAAGCATTTAGTCTGGGCACTCGCCTTGCATATCGATATCCAAATCTGATGCCCACGACAAAGGATACGTCTTTCAAAGTCTGGGGGTCAAATGCTAATCGAACAAAACACAGCGCTGAAGCCCTCTTTGCTGGACTTCATGCTGGACATGAAACAATCGGCAAGATGGTTAACGTCTCAGAAGACAACGACCGAGGAGCCGATACTCTCACACCGACGAGATCCTGTCCAAATTTTGATGTCTCGAAAGGTACGCAACAAGCGGATGTGTGGCTAAACAATTACGCAGTGCCGATTATAGCACGATTGAACGCTAAGATACATGGACTTCACTTTTCAGCAAAAGATGTGATGGCGATGCAAGAGCTGTGCGGATATGAAACCATCATTCGAGGGTCTTCACTATTCTGTGGAATTTTTACGTCCGAGGAATGGCTATCTTTCGAGTATTATTTCGATATCAAGTACTATTATGAGTTGGGTTACGGGAATGATCTTTCGCCTACTCTCGGTATGCCTTGGGTTGTTGCAACAAGCGATCTTCTCGCTCATGCAAAGACTAACGATCAGCGTCTTTACATTAGCGTCGCACATCGACAAATACCACCTCTTATCGTGACAGCATTAGGTCTATTCAACGATTCTGAATATCTTCGTACTTCGAATGTAAATCCTGTGCTTCCACTTGACAAAATCAATTATCAACGTGCATGGAAGACTAGCAACTTCATTTCATTTTTGAGTCAAATTGCATTAGAACGGCTCAATTGTAAATCTGCCGCGTATAACGGATCCTATGTGAGAATTCTTGTGAATTCCGTGCCAAAGCCTCTACCGGGATGCGTGAGTGGCCCAAGTGACAGTTGTCCCTTGCAACAGTACAGGGATTATGTCAAACAACGTAATAAACAATACGAGAGTTTTACAAAAGTTTGTGGGGTAAAAAATAAGAAAGCTCCTGATGCAATGACATTTTTTGTGAAAGAATAAACCGTTTGGATAATTCTGGTACAGCTTTAAATTGTTTCAATACATAATGATTCGATGAATATAAGTGCTTAATAGTCAATATATTTAGTGTTGGATTATAGTTGAAATTTATTTTTGCACTGGGGAATCATAACTCATCAGTTATTGCAAAAAATAGTCTATTATCTTAGTTATTTGAGAACACATACTTAGGGCAGTTGAAAAACTTTGGCACTTTCAAATGCCTATTCATGGAGCATGCATCTTTTTATCTATTTTGATATTCAACATCAGGTATACAGTGGAAATCTATGGTTAGACCGCTACTTCCCAATGACGGTTTTGTTTCCAATAACTTACTCACACTTTGGATCGTTATTTTGATACCGTCTTTCGATGATAAATCCAAATCCTATCGTCAGTGACAACTTTTTAGAGTTTTGATAAGTTTTTGGTACAAACATTCACGTGTTTTTGTCGTCTCTGTTTTGTCAGTTTATGAGGCATCCCTATTGATGGCATCTTTTTTAGCCGTAAATGTTATCTTAAGATTATATGAACACTGCCATGAGATTTATTCAAGATGTCAGCTATCAAAGCAATATACCAATACGAAGGTCTTTTACAGGGTCAAGCTTGAGAGCGTGAGTGTCGCTCTTGTCTATGTTGGAGGGGAAATTTAAATTTACCTTGTAGCGGAATCTTAAATTTTCCTAGCAACTAATAAATGTATAATCGTTTACATGTCTGTTGTATTTCATTGAAAACTATTGTATTATCTGTCAAAATAATCTAAAGTATTTTCAAAAATACATAATTTACATGAAAAACAATAGAAACAACTTATAAGGACAACTGCAATAATTATTCGATATTTTCGCAAGTATATTTTGTTTTCGAATGACATCTGCACAGCGTTCTACATTTTTTATCTTACACGGGCAAGCTTTTGTAGCACATTTTACATTACATCTGTATGTTCCTGAGAGTGAATATATTCCTACTGAAACATACTCTTTACATGATTCTGTAAATGAAATTGCTGGTAGAACTGTTGAATCAGCACTTCTGAAATTAGTAAAATCAATATTTCTCAAATCTAAAAGGTCCTGAATACCATATAACACTGACAATACACCTTTCAATGTACAAAGTTTATACATGACATTTGCATGTAGAATCCATTTGAATACGTGCTAAATAACCGACTGAAACGATTGGTTTACCTTTTCAACAGAAGAGGATATTATGACAGTATCAATACAAACAAATGCTACTCACTGGCCAGGAACTTTGGAAACATTTGACGATTATTGCAAGAATCGCGTAGCTTAATGATGATGGTAACAATATCATGAGGAATCCAAGAATATTGGGCTCTGATCTATAAATCAATTTTTTCTAAGAGATTAAAAAAGCTGTTAGCGCAATCCCTCTGGGATTAAAAATGTGAAACACGACATAATCACTGCAGGAAATCACATCTAGAAGGTGTATTCATGGGAGTTCTTTGTTGATTTGGTGAGACAGCTCGTTTGCCGCTATCAGCGATGGTCTGCGCTAGGCTGCAACAGCGTCTCTGATGGGCTGTGCTATGTTTGAAGCTTGTCTGTCACGCTGTGTGATGATCTGTGAAGATTTTGTGTAACAGTGTGTGATGGGCACTCAACTCATATGGTATTGATTAGAAAAAAATAATTCAAGCGTATGTCACGATCTGTAGTCATTTCTGAAGACCGTCTGTCACGGTCTGTGATGGTCAATTAAGTAATTACATAGTAATTAATTAATTAACTAAGCAATTGAGACGTCGGCCACGGTTTCCAATGGTCTCTTAGCCTGTCGGTAACGCTCTGTGATGGGGGAATCGCCTGTCGGTAACGCTCTGTGATGGGGGAATCGCCTGTCGGTAACGGTCTGTGGGGGAGCGGGGGGTGCAAATTTCTACCCTAAACACTTCAACACTCCTTTCAGGTCGTGTTTAACAAAAACTAGATTCGCATACTTCTTCTCAGGTTTTATCTCTCCCATGATGACTGGCACGTTTATGACATTCACTCAATTTCGTAAAAATTTCTTCTCACGTTACAAGCGAATGACTAACAGTGCCACGATTATACACAATATTTGCATTACCGATTCTCACAAGTGTGAAGTGCTTCTGAGCCCAATATTTAAATTATGAATCATCCCAACCATCGCGCAAAACCAAAATTATATCTGCATGCATTTCTTTTCTGATAAAGTACTTCGAACGAAATTTTTCATCGAGATTTTGAATATGGATACCACGTTTTTCGTAAAATAAATTCATATTTCGCTAGCAATTGAATAAAAATTTGATTTTATCTGTATAAATGTTTATTTCGTCGGACACAATCTCTCTTCGTGAGACCTAGATATTAGATTTTTATCTTTTTTTGTTGATTTTTCTCTCCATTTTAGCCAGTAGAGAGCACGTGGTCACATTGCTATTTAATTTAAATTTCCTCTCCAACATCTACACCCACACCCTCAATATCTTCACTTTTTCAC